AGTTTGAAACCACACACATTTAAAACTATACCACTACAGCACACGTCCTCATATTTAAATATAGGGTCGGAAGTTTGGTGAGAATAAAATGATTTCTCATGTTTTTGGAGACCAATGTTAAATGACATGACATAATTTCTGTACATATGTACACATCTTCAGGGATTCTGAAATATTTGGATTTAATGTTGAGGAATATTTCTCCCTGATTGTGTCAGCATCTCTTGATAATGAGGACACCCTGAGATATCTCCATCTGGTCAAGTTCTTACTTCCTACCCTGCCATGTACAAGTAACAATGATGATGACGACCCAGACACTGAAGAAGAGATGGAGATGGCGGACCCTTATGTAAGCTTTTTGTACCATTTTCTGTGTTTTGCAAGAATTGACATTTGGAAAGCAAAATTACTTGCACTGTAGTCTGTTAATATTAGATATTTGAAATCCTGTATCCATAATATTTGATATACTGATTTCCCCTCATGCAAAATATAAATTTTATAGTGCTTGATATCAAATACATGTAAACTGCAGTGAATATCCCTGGCATATCATCAGTTTGGGCCATGATCCACCAAACGTTAAGTTATTCAAAACCTTTATTAATAGGCCCAAACTTATGGTGAAGTGGGTATCTTGCATATTGTTCATAAAAGTGACTTTATGCAGATGGCACAGTTATGTGAATAGGTCCATGTTTCCAAAGAAACCAAGTCACTTCAGGCTCACCCTAGGGAATCAGATGAAGCCCTTTGAATTTTGTATGGTGGGGGGAGGATAATTAGACCAAAAAGTGAATTTTCATCTCCAGACAAGTTCTGACCATGTCCACTGATTTGATGAGAGACTGCACTGTTGGCATATTATTTGGGTATACCATTCTTAATGCAAAATGCATTCTTTGATAACCAAAGGAAGGAGTGACTGCAAGCTGTCTGGTGGGACAGTATGGTATTTTGCTAAAACAAAAAGAGGGAAGCATACAGACAGGTTTGATGCCAGAATACTTGATTTTGAAAAAAATGACTTGAGATTTGACTTGAAATAAGTGTAACTCAGGACTTGATTTGAATGAATTTGATGTGTTGACATCAACACTTTTCTTCAAATAAAAAAAAACACGAGAGAGTTGGCTTTTCTGAGTTTTGTAAGTATATACTGCAGTTTAAATACCAGCAGGTTAAGTGGATTTCAAACCTTTGCACTGTAGAACATTGTAATGGTGCAAGTTAAATTCGGCTTAATGATGGGGGGTGACAATTTGTCTTATTTTGAATTTGGTCTGCATGCACAGAGTCGACTTTTGGATATTTTATCTTCACAGTTTGGAGGAGCATCCTCTCTAGCAGAGATCCGAGATGAATGTCTTCAGATCTTGAACTTGCCCCAGAATGCGCGAAGTCTTCTTGCCGTTGTCTCCAAGAGTGATATATCCGTCCTTACTGCTTTGTGTAGCATCTGTCACACACTCATGGTCAACCATAAGATGCATGTTCCGCGAACAGCGTAATAACTTCTGATTTTTTTCTTGAATTCTTAATTTTGTCCTCGTGCTCCTTATGCAGCCTTGTTCAGCCAGTTTTCCAAGTTTCTGCTGATATGCTGAGTTTTGCGTACTTCCACGCATTGCCATTGGAATCTAAGAAGCTTAGCATGCAGCATGAAGATTATTATAAGTCCTTCTGTGGAGTTGCATACCTAAGAAATCTTAGTTTGTTTCACGGTGGAGTCAAAAACAATTTAAAAGCTGAAATTATTTTAGTGTGATATTTGTCTATCCATGTAGTCCATGGATTTTACACTCTGATTCATAATTCTAAGCTGTGTCATAATTTCAATGATTGTCAGGGAGACGGCCAGTGGTAGTGAATAACTCAGTGAAAGGCAATTCAGGCCTCACTTTTTCCCCTCTTTTGAGTACAGTTTTTGTTTGAATGAGGTAATTTTGAGGAACGAAAAATCTGATAAAAATTACTTCGAAATCAAGGTCAGCCATTGTTGTGACCCTGGATGTTGGTAAACAAGGACATGCTGCAATCTAGATAAACTGTCATGGCAACTGATACCTTTCTGGCTTTAAGGTCGCTCTACAATATTAAAAGAACTTACAATTTAATTTTTTTGGATACAGCCACTGCAATAATCACAAATTCAGCCAAAGTCAAATCAAAATTAAAAGGGATGAAAAAAATGAGTTACAATTTAATTTGTATTTGTGTAATTTTACAATTAACAATAAATTCTGGTCCATCTGGCCCAAAACACATTGGCTGATCCATAATCTCAAGTATGGTAAAAGATTTATTTGGCCAACAACAAAACAGGATCTTAGGTACATATACTATGGCTTGATATTCAGGGGTATATGTGGAATTGGTTATTCTGAATTTTCGTTTGAATTGTGAATACATTTATTCAGTAAACTGCAATTGTTATTATTTTATTGTTGTTTCTGTCATAGCTTATTGTATTTGCTGGCTTTTAACGAGCAATTCCTCAGACATCTATGGGAGGCAGTCAAGTCAGTGTCAGCACCAGCAGTTACTGGGTAAATATCAAAATCATTCAAAATCATTTAGGGCCCACTTTTGGACCTTCCCAGTTTTTTTGGTTTAGGCTGTTGTGCATATCTGGCCATTTGAGAGATACATTTATTTCATAAAAGCTGAAAGTAGTTTTACACATGTATAAACAGTCTGTTTTACCTTTTGTTTGTGTTGTGTTTGTGTTGGGCTGGTCAATTCTAATTATGAATAGAGTGGCAAATAAGTCATGTATCACTAACTCACATCATTTTTGCATCTTTGGTTTATACAGATTTCACATCTTTAAATTTCATGTCATCTTGAAATTCATTATTTTTGGGGATTTTAATTTCAAGTGAACAGGATAGCTTCATAGGTTGCAAAATTTTTATCATATGAGATATCAGACAGGAATTTGATAAGCAAATTACAATTTCTAATTATGAAGAAGTGTTAAAATAATGTTAAAAGTAATTGAACATTAAAGGTAAAGGTAAACAAAAATGGAATGGAACAGACCAGAAACAGAAGAAAACAGATGTATCTCATAAGAAATACAATAGAATTGCGATAAATGATTGTTTGTAATGAACAGCATGATAAAGGGAAAAAAGATGTGCTTGACTGGTCTTAAAGGTGCGTTTGCATTTAAGACAAGCTCAGGAGAGTAGACGCGACTAATGCCTGAGCCACAGGTAAGGGCATTATCAGTGTTCAGTCTCCACAGCTGGTCTAGTTTAAAACTGGCCAAGCACATATTTATTCCTATTCATAAATACCTTTTTAAAAAATTCAGAGAGTCAAAAGAAGTCAATATAGGATAGATTTTCAACAATTTTGTTCTAGAATTTTACTCTCACTTCCTTTCTATAGAATCTCCTTATATGGACTTGACGGGTGCGTGGCGAGCCACGTGCTCTCAGACTCTTGACCAATCAGAATCATTAAACTTTTTCCCATCTAGGTGCCAGTCGGCAATTTATGCAGCGGCCATTATCACTTCTCAGTGGGCATTATCAAATGTTAATACACGGTCAAGTTGTACGTTGTTGATTAGGGAAACTGACAGATATTTATGAATACCTGTTTCAATCTGATTGTGGGTAATGCACTCAGTTACTGATAATGGCTGATGGGATATTCTGACCTTATACATGTAGGTCCTGCACACCTCTGATCCAAATGTTATCCAGTGGCTACCCTCTCTCACCAGCTGATAGTGCCAGGATTATCCCTCTACTCTCTGTCTTCTGTTCTCTCTTTGGTCACTTGCTTCTGTCCCTCCACGATGCTGAATTCCACGGTGATAAGCGAGGTAAAGATGGATATTTTAAGTAATTGTTTTTACTGTTGGGATATCCTCCCCAAGTAAGTAAGGTAGGGTTGCTACCTCCCTACATGTAGCTTTTATGTCAACCTGCCACGGGGTTAGTGCTTCAGACAGTGCCATTGAGTAACGAGGTAGAGTCAGGTGCTGAGGTATAGAGGACTGTTGTAAGTCCTGCTACAGTTGTTGGATTTTAGGCATGCCGGTTTCTTAATTTTACATTCAGTGGTCAATATCCACCATCTTTAAATTTCATGTGAGTCCTCTTTCATTCCAGTTACTGAATATCAGGGACTGTAAATCTACTATACAGGGATGAGATTCATCAGGAGTTTTCCTGTTTCAGGATTTTCAAACAATCTCTTTTAAAATCTGGAATATCCCGGGTTTACCAGGTGTTTTACCAAGGTGTTTTATGTATAAAGGCTGATGTAGAGCACAAGAAATTGGGTCATTTTAAGAGGTGCCTTTAGGCAACAAAAATATTGAGGTATACAGATCCTAAGATGCTGTGTGGTGCTGAAACCTCTTGATTATTTTGTGGATATTTCATTTTCCTCCAATCTCACCCCTGAAACTACCTGTACCACTACCTACATTAACATGTCTGAGGGCAGTAACCTCTCTCCTCCCTGTACTGTTGTCAGTTTTGCATTCCAAACACAGATACTACAGTTTTGATCATGAAAGTATTATTTTAAACTGAATTGCACATATGGCACTACTTTCTTTGGTGCATACATTCAAATGGCTGGGGCTGCCGAGAGCGGTAATGGCCAGGCCCATGATGCTCCCAACTGTTTTTGCTGCTACCATAAAGACGGAGAATTTTACATTAATTTGGAATACATGTACACTTCTAGCATTTTTCCTGGAAAGTTTTTTATTGCAAGCTGCACAGCAATAAATGCTGTCTGTGTTTTGCCGTCTCGTCGAGTCTTCCCTGGAGCCCGGACAATACCTTCTCAAAGTTAGGACCAAAATTGCTTTGGCAAAACTGCTTCAGTGCTGCTGATGTCATTGACAAGATTATTCTTATGACAGGAGTGAGACGAAACTGAGTGATCATTAGTGTTGCTGTCAGCAAACACACGGACGCTGGGACTGGTCGGCTTGGAGTCCTACATTATTGTGTACATACTGCAGCAACAGTTGTGCGTATTCCGTCTCCCATGTACTGCATCTCAACATTACAGAACAGCCAAATAAAACTGCCGACTGTTGTTTTTCTTTTTGTGTCTGCCAGACCACCAGAGCTACAAACTTTTTTCTCACATTCAATTTTAAATACACAATAAAAACTCTACTTTATAAGACATTGGGCATACTACATTATCATTGAACTACATCTTTAAAATAGACTTCACATCTTCAGGATTTTTGTATTAACTACTCTGCCTTGTCTGTTTTACCAGCTGACTCTCACCGTAGCCTGATGCCATTCCAGTTGGATGAGCTTGTTCATATGAGCTTGGTCCTACGTAATGCCTGTCTGGGCATGATAGAGTGTGCTCATCCAGAGACTAGACCCTCTGTTACCAAGGACTACAGACGTGCTATGGCCAGTGTGGGTGTCATATCACACACTGACTCAGGGGATGAAGCAGCTATGTGGATGCATGTTTTCAAGGTTAATTTTGAAATCAAAAGAAATCCATAACACATCAATTGTAAGACGAACACAGCTATTATGGAAAGATCAGGACTGTGCATGGAATGTCAAGTATATATTCTGATACTCCTTTTAGCCTCTTGTGCTGTTAGCCTTAATGCTAACTGAATTGCCCCCAGAGATAAACTTTAAGAAATGAAATTCCGAAATTGCCATTGTGAATATGATCAGGTCTTCATTTTTTCAGCAGAGTTGTATTTGACATTTTAAACCCAAGTTCTTCCTCATAAGTGAGATTGTGGTGTAAAAGTGTCAGCTAAAGCAGCAGTTCTGCTCTTTCTTTGTAATCAATGACAGGTGACAGCTCAACTGGTGAAGCAGCTTCATGATAGAGATATGAGGAGGTCATTTTGTCCATTTGGCCACTGGCTGGCATCCCATGTCAATATCTTCACTGACAATAGGGTCAGTCGTATTTTCATGCTTCAAAGAAGAGCTTAACCCTAACCTTCCCCAACCACACAGAATTAAACAGTAGTAAAGTGTTGAATTCTTTGGGGATAGGTCTGGTAGGCCCATAACAGCGGGCCTTTGCATTGGGTTTGGCATACCTCAAAAAACAAAGTCCAACAGCCTCTGTGCACAAAGTCCCATATGGGTGTTTAACTTTGTGTGAATGGGGAAGGTTAGGGCTAGCAACCCTTGGGGGTTAGGGTTAAGAGACTAGAGAGAACTTCAGATTGCTGGGAAAAGTTTTGAAACACCTATTGGTCTACGTAGTTCATGAATATGCAGGTGCCATCTTTAAACCCTGCATTTGCCTTTTTTTGACTGTGATACATTCTGTTATTAACATGTCATTGGTATAATGTAAATTGGGATTTAAGTCACACTGAAAGGAAATAGTTACTTCATTTTGGGGGCTTTACTTAGTCAATTTGGAGGTGGAAGGATACTAAAAAGATAAGTTGCAGTACGCATGTAAATATTTTTAAGCAAAAGAATGACATTTCAAAAAAATGCGGTTGATTGGACTTTTAGGTAAAAGGGTCAGGAGGTCGTTATGTCCATCCAGGGCTGAGACCTCGGCAGCTCCATATCATGCAACCCAGTATGGTAACAGAGGAAGGACCACCACCCATGTCTACACATGAGATTCGCAAGATGACTATCCTGGCTGAATTGCCATTTGTTATTCCATTTGAAGACAGAGTAAAGGTATGTCTCGTCTATAAACCCACTTCCTACTCAGCAACTGCTCTGACCATTAACCCTGCACTGAGCCAGCGAACAGAAAATGTTGCCCAGTAATCATTTCTACTTGACACTAGCCACAAATCTGCAAAGAATTAGTTTCAAGTCAAAACACGCAGATTGCCTTTAGTTGATTTGTTTTTCTGAAAGATCGTCACTGAAGAAAAACTACCGACCTTCCCCCATTTCAACAAATTCACCAGCCAGCACATAAAAGTTACATTTGAATGGAACACACAGTTGAGAGTTGACAGTAGCACACATTTAGTACATACAGTCCCAAGCCTTGAAAGACAGTGTCAACCAAAGACATTTACTGTACGTTCGTTTGCTGTGTTTTCCTCTCAGTGGTGCCTTGTCAACAGCTTTCACATTTGGCATCGTGGCTTGTACGTACAAAATGCTTGTAAAGCCATTATGGGAGCTTTGATGACAAAGCATGGTTTTGATTTTGAATTCATATTCAACAATGGGAAGAAACTGCCAGTGTTGCTACCTTCGTGCAAAGTGTTCCACTGCCCTGAACATGTACTCCATTAGTTTGTTAGCTTGCAGGGGCTGAAAACTTGATCATACATTTTGGAGTGATGTGTTTGTGCTCATTTTTGATAACAGAAGTCCATGTTCTGAGTTCAGATGTTTCACAAAAACCACTGAATATTGGGAAAGGACAGAAAAAAGGGTTACATAAATTAAAGGTACAAATAGAACACAGTTACATCCAACTACTGTTATGATGGGTTTGACCCGGGTTACAGCATTGAACATTGGGAACTGTAGCCACTTTTGAGTACAGTACTTTTGAGTACCGTACTTTGTGGACGTTTCTGTCTTCCAGATATTCCGGGACTGGATTCATCGGGACAAAGAGGAGCATCAAGGGGAGTTTGCAATATTCACCCCTGGACGTACAATAGATATCAACATCCGACGGGATTTCATTTATGAGGATGCTTATGATAGGTTACGGCCAGAAAATGGTAAGCCACCTGTTCATGGTTCAACGAACTTTGCAACATTTATGTATTAAGACATTGTACGCTCATGCAGGTGCAAAATGCACAATCGTGTCCCCATGATGTCGAACAGTGCCTCTCCAACAATGGAAGTCGGGGATGAGGTTTCGAAATGAAATAAACGGAACACTGGGGATGAAATTTAAAAATGCATAGCAACTGCTAGTCAGTTCCTGATGAAATATTTTGAGTGATCTTGGGTGATCTTGGGTGCGGCAGACAGACAGCCTATGTTTTCCATTGAGTTTCCATTCGAGAAGTCTGGTCCGATGTTTATGACAAAAGCATGCCATTGTGATACATCTAACATCACCCATGGCATGGCATGGCATTCGCATGGCAAAATGAATTGATGTCCAGATGTCAGTTGTAATGTGAAATGAAGAACATCTAATCTGGGCTGGGTGATTCATTATCTTGTGGGTGTTTCATCTACTCTGTAATAACGAACACTAGTTTATCTCTGAGAACTGTTGCTCTAAGGAGAAAATATTGCATGGGGAATGAATAAGTTAAATCAAGGAATCTGCCGAAAATAGTGGAAGCTAGTGTAAAAGATGCATTCATATATGCTGAACAAAATTTCTCCATGTATTTCAAATGTGCAAACAGCAGGATGTACATGATGGAGCATTTGATGGTTTAAAATCAAGGTACTTTATAAACTCAAAAATTGGTTTGGAATTTCAGTCATTCGTTTTTACATTTTTAGAGCCAGATTTGAAAAAGAAGCTGCGTGTTGTCATGAGGAATGTCTCTGGTCTTGAGGAAGCAGGAATTGATGGGGGAGGGCTGACACGGGAATTCCTCTCAGAACTTCTCAAGACTGGGTTTGATCCAAACAGGGGATTTTTCAAGACAACTGCAGATGAGCTGCTGTACCCCAACCCCCAAGCATCACAGCTAGAACCTGACTACCAGAAACACTACTACTTCCTGGGCAGAATGCTGGGCAAGGTGAGAATAACATTGATTTACCATACCAATATCGGCAAAATATCCGATTGGAAAACTTGACTGTCCTAGCCAATACGTGCACCAATGCTTGTGTTGTGGAGCACCATTGAAGGGAAATAACATGACTGGTCGAGAGACTGGGTGTAATGAAAAATGGTTGGTGGCTTAGGGAGCTTTCAAAGTGCACATGCTCAGCGTCCCTGAAGAGGCATGGGATAATATAGTTTTCTGATGGCTGGGTTAACTGGAGGAGCTTGTGGGTAACCCTGGTAACCCCACAGAATAGCCGGGGAATAGCTCGTTCTGCAGAACAAAAGTATGAATGTAACAAACAACTGCAATAAACTAGATGAAAATAACCCACATACAGACCCACATGCATTCACTGGTGTAAGATTATACACACATGTTTACTTATTGCACGTAATTCCAACACTCAGCAATTCAGGAATTTGGACAAGAACTAATTTCCAAATAAACGCTCATTCTAAGAATCTGTAATGTTACATGCACAATCTGAATGATGCTGTAAACTTTGTGAAATGCTTATAAACAGGGGGAAGAGATGCATGGATTTCCTGTAAATTTCTCTGTGCCTCATGCTACACTTGGTTGGACTCTACACAATACATTGTACCTCAAAGTGTGGTTGCTTTGAACAGTTGACATAGTTGACATCTGACATGTTTTGTGGTCATTATTCACCGTTTGTGTTGCATGGCACATAGTTTGTTTCAAGCCATCTGTCACAGTTCCTGTTCAGTAAAGTAAAATGTAATTGTTGCCAGGCTGAGAAGTATCCCGAAGACTTCATAGAGGTTAGAAACCTGTGAAGTTCACTGCCCATCAGTTGGTGATTCCTAAATGACAAATTTAAAGTAAGAAAATGAATAGCTCACCGGCAATTCCTTTCAATTCTTTTTCTGGCTTAATGGTAGCATTTGACAATGTCATGTTCTCTTCCTTCCCTATCTTGTTACAGGTGTTATATGAGAATCTCTTGGTAGAACTTCCCTTTGCTAGTTTTTTTCTGACCAAACTCATGAGTAAGCACGCTGATGTGGACATTGATCAGTTAGCATCCCTGGACCCTGAAGTCTACAAGTAAGTTTCATGTCAGAAATGTTGCTGTTGCAAATTTTACTAAGTATTAGGCAGCTCTACTGGCAACTCATTTTATCATATTAACTCTAATATTTAAAACAGTTGCAATGAGAGTTCTCCTGCAAATTATAACATGAAAATAACTTCATGACATAAAAGTTGGGATGTACAAAGGATAAATCGCCCATCTTGTAAACATTGTCATCAGATATTCACTGCTTTGAGGGATAATGAAACTGTCTTTTAATCTACAACATATTTTTTTAGAGTTGCTGTGCATTTCCAAAGCAGTAAACCAAAAACATCCTCAAAATGCTTTGAGGAGTTGGGTTGGCACAACATACTTGACTGTCCACCTCTGCCACCCAGGTTTGAATCCCACCCAGGGCAATACGTGAATTTGGTTCTTAGTCCCTACCTGAATCCTCAGGTTTTCTCTGGAATATTCATTTGGAGTTTTCCTCCCACTTCTAAAACTCAAGATCTCTTTTTCCCCCATTGTCTTCCTCCTTCATGACTGCTATAGGGAGACCAATTCATAACTGATAGTGCTGTACTCTGGTTAAATAAAGAATGAATAGCATTCCAGGCTGATCTATTTCAGTGACTCAGTTATTCATGTGTTAAGCATATGCACCAAAGTTTGTGAGACCAATAATCAATACCAGTAGTATAAGCTATGCAATGTTTTCTGAAGTTGTTCGCTGATCCTGTTTTCTTGTTTGGAGGTTATCCAGCTGAACCGACGTTTTCAAGATGACTATCATTTTTATCTGCTGTTATCTTTTATTCTTTCATTGATTGAAGAACCTACCATCTCATTCAAAAACAAACTGTTGAATGTCATCATCTTTCATACTTTTCCTGCTGAAGGAATTTGTTATCTCTGAAGGACTACACCGGTGATGTCACTGATCTCAACCTTGATTTCACCGTTGTTGATAATGAGCTAGGAGCAACACGTGTTCATGCACTCAAGGCAGGAGGCCAGGATATTCCAGTCACTGCTGCCAATCGCATCGAGTACATCCATCTCATGGCTGACTACAGACTCAACAAACAGGTTGGATGATGTTAGAATTTGGACTCAAGATGACCATGAGTAGGCAGTGTCTTAAGCCTCCTTAATGCTTGATCACATCTTGTTCCTTCTCTGTCCCATAGTGTTTTTTGTATTTAATTACCAATGTTCAGCTTTGTTATTTACTGACTAAAGAATTTCAGGAGAATCTTGAAATACAGCAGGATGTACATGTAGAAAGTGTAATTATAAGTTTGGTTCTGATACTTTCTGTTCGAAGTTTTATTATATTTCAATAATTACAGCACTTAGAAAAAAGTATTTTTAAAAATAATGCTGTGGAATGTAATGCCAGAAACCTTCACACACACACACCACAAGAACTACAGTTCTTGTCTCATACGTGTACATCATGTACATGTAGTGCTGCAAGTAGGTGCCAAGGTTGGGTTCGGTTCGGACACAGTTTGGAAATTTTTTTGCCGAACTTCGGTTCTGTTTGGGTTGGAACACGTACACATAATGCACATCGAGACACTGAAGAGCTCGCTACGAACAAACGTGCTGTATATAGTACTTCCGTGTGTAGAATATGTTAATAGCAATGAATCTCCTCGCCATCCCCGTCCTTGAGCAACTTCGATGTGAACATAAATTTTTTCTTAACTGTTTCCCCAAAGTTTGTTTAGGAGTTAAAATTCCATAGAAAGTTATCATTGGAGGTATGACAGTTTCCGACCGTGTTTTGCCGACTAAAAGTGGATGTGACGCTTGACTCAACAAAACGATTGTAGGATATGTGAAAACAGAAAAAAAAGCAATGCTCAATGTGGAGTTTCAAATTAGATTTCAAGCGAATTGTGTTTTGGTTTTTTTCACGAAACAGAATCAACTGCCAAACCATGGTTTTCGATGTATTCGAAGAAGAACCTTGGTATCAAGTCAGTATTCTTTCCCAGGACGGTGCCCACGCGGCCAAAGGGGCAATTTTCCATCAGTCTTTTTCAAACGGATAACAGCATTTTGTTATTTGAGATTTGCGAACAACTTACAGATCTGGAAAAATTCCTGTACATTTTCACATTATGACTCCAATCAAATATAATCAATGGAAGGCAAATTGGGCCACCGCGCAAACCAAATCTTGTTGCGCACTGGAGTGCTGCACCGGCATGGCCCGCTTGGCAAAATCAGTTTTCCTTCCGTATTTGCCCGCGACTAAGCACGAGTCCGACTGTGATCAGCATCCAATCAAAATTGATTTTTCACGGCCATTTATGACATCATTGGCCTAAATGGAACGTAAGGGCATGGCTGTTGGAGATTGGCAAACATAATGCTAAATTTGAATATACATGTACATATTGGATGTAGTGAGAATTTAGTGCAGCAGAAATGCCGTACGTTGCATGATTTTGACTGATTATTAGTGAATTCTCACACATGCTTTTTACAACCATTGTGTGATGCGGGGCCATCATAAGTTTACTGTACATGTATCTACATGTACAGTATAATTATAATACATGTACATGTGTACACGCACATGTGCTGAGCGCCAGTGCAGCACAACTTGTTATCCATTTTTGTTGTGTTTGCTCTTTTATCACGTTTTCTTGTGTGCATTCCGTGCGCTATCAATGTCATGCCATATTAAAGCCTAACATCCAAACTGATCAGTTTGGTTTAGTTAAGTTCAGTTCGGTTTGAAAGTGCCATGTTTGACAATTTTTGGTCCGGTTCAGCTGCAGCACTATGTACATGCTTGAATCATGTCTAAGACTTGGTAACCCTTGAAATTTCAAGAGTGACATTGTTCTATGAAATGAAGTAAACAGTGTAGTAACCTATGTAATCTGATTGTCTTTGGCCGTTTACCAGTACTTGCTACAGTGAGTAAAGCTTGATTTACATTCAAGTTGAAAATTTAGGGTGTTTGGAAAGAACAGTAAATAAACAGAACAGTGGGGGCAGTTTGGGAAGGTACTGTACAGAAAAATTCATCGGAAACTAGCTCAGACACCTGTTTCACTAAATGACCACACATACTGGCACCATAGTTGTGGAGACCACACATATGTTGAATGATAGTTATCGTGGGGACAAATTTGTTGTTGGGATAAGTGCTTGTTCCCACAACTTTGTCTTTTTATCAAAGAAATAATACATTTACTCATAGCTGGATTATGAGATTAAGTTTAGTACTTTCATAGGCTCTACTTAGCTTGTCCCCCACCTCTCTTACAGGGCAATGCACAAATGTGCAGAAAATTCACTTTTTAAAACAAGTAGTTATGAAATTGGATGGCACAGGCATTTGGTTTCAACCAGCTATCACACAGGATTTGACAAGATGCAAGGATTTCCCCTTGTAGCTTCACAGATCGGACAATGTGGTATTTTTGTAAACCTTCCAATTTGTTGTTGGCAGTGGGCACAGTGTCTGCTGTGCCTATTCAGTATTCGATTATGCAGTCCTGCACATATTACTTTCAGTTCTCATTACTCTCACCTTAGAACCTTAGCTAAAACAGTCCTACATCCTCCAACTGAAACATAATTTTCATACCTAGGCTGTTAGGGTTAACGTTATGAGCACAAAAATAACTACATCACGGAGATAGCATGCAGTTGTCTTTTGTTATTTTCTTGTGTACTCTGTATTTATGTTTAACATATATGTTTAGATGCGTCCACACATCTTAGCCTTCCGTCAGGGACTGGCTAATGTCATTGATGCTGAATGGCTGCAGATGTTTGACCATCAAGAGCTGCAAGTCTTAATATCAGGAGCCCTAGTTCCAATTGATGTAGACGACCTGAAGCGGAACACCAAATATTCAGGTAAAATAGTCTACAGGTTGTGAGTAATACAAAGTACTGGTACAAGTTGGTCATACATTTGAAAACAAATGTTGTAACTTATCCTCTAGTAAATAATGATTTTTGATGTGAGATGGATATACGTGCCATTGTGGTATAGTGTTGTTAAGTAAAAAATAATAATATATTTCTTGAACAGGTGACACTTTAGAGCTGAAGTGGCTGATCATACAACATTATAAGTCTTAAACAATGCAAACAAATAAATTTGTAATTATGTGTGCCAGACATAGTAACGGTTGAATTGGATTGGAGCATAATTTTTTCATACAATAAATAAACACACCGTGGATAGTAACTCCTAAATCCTTCAATTTCTGTACAGTTTTTAACACATCTTGGGGGTAAGTTAGGCCATATTCCACAATACTGAGAAACATTGCATCATCTGGTATTTAACATCTGCCTGTCCAGTTTCAGCAAAGATTAAACACTACCAGTCCACTCTTGACAGTTTTTTGAAACTAGTACTTGTACCCCTTCGTACTGCTTCAGCCCATTTTTCCTCTGCACACAATATTTTCTAAGGAAGATTGAAAACTAATTAACCAGTGTTAAAACTCATGTAAAGAAGAGTTTTTGTAAGATTTAGTGCAAGCACAGTGTTGCTCGTCCAAAATTATTTTTACCTGTCCATTGGACAGATGGACGGACAAAACACTACTCTGGAACTGTCCTTAGTTTAGCCATGCATGTTTTTGAAACATAGTGAGAAAACACTACTCTGGAACTGTCCTTAGTTTAGCCATGCATGTTTTTGAAACATAGTGAGAAAACACTACTCTGGAACTGTCCTTAGTTTACCCATGCATGTTTTTGAAACATAGTGAGAAAACATGTGGAATTTCAAATAATGTGCTGTAAAAGCATCACACATATATTTGTTCTTTGCATGGTGAAAGGATATGCTCATTTGCATATCCATTTGTGAAGTGCAAACTTCAGTAATGTATCGGAATGTGGATGCCCTGGCTTCACTCTGTAGCCTGTAGTGATTGTGTAATATAGCAAACATAGACAACCACGATGCTCAAAAAGAAAAAAAGCTGTAAGACTGTTCTAAATAATTTGAGGGTATGAATGAATGCAGCATATTTGTATGTACTTGCCTATCTGTCCTTCAAGGTGGCTACACTGAGGATCATCCCTTGATAGAGAACTTCTGGAAGGTAGTTAGTGTCATGGATAACAACCAGAAGAGGGCTTTGCTCAAGTTTGTTACAAGCTGTTCTAGGCCACCACTACTAGGCTTTAAGGTAAGTTAGTACTTTAGCACTGACTCCTTCCAAGTATTCCTCCATTCCCTTCCTTGTATCTTGACCTATCTTTCACCGACAATTTGGACTTGTCAGTCTTTCATTCCTTTATCCCATACATCAATTTTTTTTGCCCTTAAGTTTTCTTTTCCTCATTTCAATTCTTTTTCCATTACCCTATTTATGGTATGTCTTTCCAATTCTTTGATCTTTCCTTCAGATTTTTCCATTTCTATCCTTGATTTCCAATATCAGTTCTTTCAATTTCTTTCTCTTCATAATTTTCCCTGAACGTCTGATCTTGCCACTATTCTTTCATTTACCTTTAAACACTTTTTTGTCTTCATGTAGACAACTGTGGTAATTTTTAGTCTCTGGGATCAGGGCACAAATGCCCAATCATCCAACATATAGGAACCATATTTCATTTTCCATCATTCTCTCCTCCTTTCCACAGGAATTGTATCCTCCATTCTGCATCCAGTATGGTGGTAGTGATGAGGAACGGCTTCCAACAGCAAGTACATGTATGAACCTCCTCAAGTTACCAGAGTTCAGAAATGAAGAGGTGCTGCAAACAAAACTGTTATACGCTATACATTCAGGTGCTGGATTTGAACTGAGCTAGGAGCAAGACCGATTATATTGCAGCCTATCAGAGCACTGCCTGATCTAGCACAATATAATACCACTACAACTTACCAGGTCATTGCAGGTTGCTTCCATGCACAGGTTGGTACCCCTATTTGCACGAAGAGAGATTTGGTCAATTTGGTTTACCCATGTACATTGTGATCTCCAAGTGACTGGAACTAAATCTTGCTTTCCCCAAAGAATGCTGTCCAGAAAGTCAGAGAACCCTTTATGGTAAAAGAAAGTCAACCTCACTGTCAGGTTGCTTAAAAATGCTGTGCATCATTCATTTAAAGAGTGATTGATAAGTGGTCAGAGCCTGCCAGATGTGTCTGAGGGGTTATGGCTGTAGCATTTTTGTAGCAATTTTGTGAATTAGACATCTCATTGATCAGATCTGACATCAGATTATGCAAAACATGTGTGAACCCTAACCCCTAGTGTGTGTGTGAGAGAAATCATGTTAAAATTGAAGGGCTGAGGTTGATTAAGGTTCCTGAGATTTGTTGTCACTTGTTGGGTTGATGAACTGATTGTTTGACTGATCTATTGATAAATTGATTGATTGATTAATTGATTGATTGTCTAAGTAATTACTCATACTTCTTTTCATGCACTACATTGAACAAGTTCACATTTCGAACTTAGATGAAGAATACTACGGAAAATGCTGTTTCTGCTGTAGTATTAACAAGTAACATTTTTTATCATGAAGCAATATGTTCAGTTTTATAACATGCTATAAAACCTTTCTTAAAGATCGATCATTTTGATGTACATGTATAAATGTATAGGTAATAAGAAAACTATTTGAATAACTTCTAAAGTTTTGGCCTAATGATTTGCATATTGGCTAGTGAGAGTCCATTAAGAACACTGCATTGGATGTTTGTCAATTTCTTAAGCGTTTCATACTGCACAAAAGTTAAAGGAGCCATATATTCGTAATCTGGGGCTGCATGGAGGTCAGAAAGCAGCGGTTGACACCGTCTTTGTGAATTTATGCTTGCGAGTTTTCTGACTGTCACTGCAAGTGCAAAGACAGTCTGCATTAACAAGCCATGTCATTGCCTGCTCTCTCTGAGGCATTATGACAAAGATTCCAGAGATGGTCACTCTATGTTGCAAGAATAGACTTTTTCACTAATAAACTCATAGTTATGCACGCATGCGCACAAATGGCCGTGGCGGCACGGGCCATTGAAAATGTACAAGGGTGGGATAATTTTCTCTCAGGTCTCTCTTTCAGGTTTTCTCTCCACTTAGTTTAGAAACTAATACCAAAAACGATTTAATTGGATTTTTTGAAGAAAAAAATGAACAAAGCCAGAAACCTTAGAGAAATCGCACCCCTGTACATTTTCAATGGCCGTTACCACCAAGACCATTTGTGCACATGCGTGCATAATTATGAAGTTATTAGTGAAAAGGTCTATTGTGATCAAGTAAATTACAAGGCATTACCAAATTGTTCCCACTTAAGTTTTAGATGTTGCATGTACCAGTCACAACATATTGTCCAGTTCTTCCTTTTTCACCACACCCACATGTATATATATAGTTCAGTGATCTCAAAAGTGGTTAATTGATTTTAAGATGTTAATGCACAGCTTGCATACATCACAAGTTTTATATTGATCTGAAATCATAGTTGAGACTTTATTTGACCTTTGTCATCGTCATACATTGTGTATCTTTTTAAGGAAGATATGGAGCCTTTGAGAAAATGGAACAACTTTCCAGGTGCTTTGAGAAGCAGAAATCATACTTTTCATATTGAAGATAAGGAATTATACACTATTATTTATTAACAGCCTTTTTATAAAGTTACTAAATAATTTGTTTTGAATCAGAAGATACAGTCTGTGATACTCTCTTTTCTGGTGGGATTGATGTGGTTGTTTGGAAATAGCAAGAGTTGGGAAATCTTACGTTTGAATAAAGAAACCCATGTTTTTAAACTTTAAAATCGAGGTTAAAAAGCTATGATTATTTTGATGATAGTAAATACCTTTGGACAGGTGTAAAAAATGCTGGGAGGCACATTTGTGTCACATGTACATTTAACCCAAAGTCATTCTGTTGATATATATTGTACATGTATTTATGTTGTAAACATGTAACGTAAACATGTAATAAAGTTCTACATACAACATCCATACTTTTGGGGTTGTTGATTTTACGGCATGGTATTGCGCCACTGAAGTATCATGTAAAGCCCAGCAACAAAAGTAAACTTTGTTACTCTTTGTTACTTTGTTGCAAAAAAACTTGTTACTCCCCTTGCTTTATTCCCCCACTTTTTTATTATGTTAGGATTTTTTTTTTTTAAGAAATTTTCAAGGGATTTTGACATATTTGTTTCACTCGAGGCCTTAAGCACCAGCGTCATAAGGTCCCACTACCCTTAGCACCAGTACCAATTTTATAGTGCTTTTAAGTGCGCTGTAGCCTCAATTAATCTTTATTTTTTTAGGCCAGATCTTTTTCAATCCTTGGTTCTTGAGCCCACCGACGGGGAGAAGCCTGCCATAATTAAAATCGAATTTTTGGGCGTGTCCTCAGACCCACCACTATCCAGGAAATGAATCCTTCTTTTTTACACTTTAATTCCGTCAGCCGCTCCAGAATATGCCGGCATTCTTTATTTTTAATCTGTCTTCCGCTGAATTTTCAGTGGGATTTGTAGAAAATAAAGACATTACACGCAGTGAATGGGCATTATTGACTGGTTTTTAATCCAGCGTAAAAGAAACACTGTAGGGCTTGATTAGTCCTTGGGGCTTCTCCACGCTATTCGCTGTTAAACACTTTTACACGCCGGACATACAAGCACATGTTTGTCTTATATATAATCTAAAGTGTTTTTTTTCTGAAATTGATCTCATTTCCTTCCTCGCTGAAGTTGACAATCAGTATTCAGTGGCGTAGCGAAGGAATCTTTGGGGGTGCCAGACTCAATTTGCAGACATAACTTTTTCGCGAACTTCATCTCGTTTAGAAGCTCACCAAGTGGTCCGTAGTACGCTACATTTGATGCTTCGGGGGAAATGCCGACGGCCACGTATATCATTTATGTACTAATTTTAGATTCATTTGCCGACCAAAGCCCTATCTGCCGACTGGAATTAATTATAGGAGAGTGCTGCATCCATCATGCACCCTGGTCCCTACGCTCCTTTCAGTATTTTGAGGAAATAAAATTTACACGTGTATTAACTTTTTTCGCCTCCATGTGTTTCTGACAAAAAGCTCGAGGACCAAGGAATGAAAAAAGTCTGACCTTATAGTTGCAAGAAGCTATTTGCTTTAGTTTGAAACTTCCCCAAATTAGTTGGAGACACTGACAATTTTGACAACCGTTCTGAGTTACATTTATTACAAGTCCTCAAAGTTTAGGCCGCCAAATTGTTCGTAGACCCAATAAGCAAAGTGCCTTTTGTTCCATTTGTAAAATCAAGTCCTTCTTACAAGATGCATTTATAAACCTGTTGGATCTTGCCATATATGCCCTTATATCACTGCATTGGCATAACCTGTCAAATGAGTGTAGGTGCGTTTGCACAAGAAAAATTAACAGCAAAACTAGAGTCCAGAAAATCTATCTGCCCCATGATCATGGGCGAAATGCTTTAGCAAAAAAATAAACGGCTGCATGCTACATTAAAAAATGGATTTGTTTTACTACGGCTAAAAATGAGTGTTTAGGCCTAAGTCTTGCTTGTTCTGTTCTGCATCGCCTTATCCTCTCCTCCACTGGCCGGGGGCAAATTATTTCTCTGCACATTGACATGTTGCAATTCTTGAAGGAATTAAAAGCAACTTGACACTTCAAAAGCGGGACTACCACATACCTTCCTTTGGGGCTGAGTACAATTTTATGGATGAAAATCTGAAGAGGGGCAATCATATTTTGAGGTAATAGTCCTCACCCCGAATCAGAAACTGCATGGGCCTACATCCAAGGGCAAATCGGTATGGGGAGGGCGGCGCCAAGGTCCCCACCCCCCCAAAAAAAACCCGAACCCCGGAAATTTGGTTCTGTCACTCCGTCCTTCAAAACGCCACTGCTTCCCCCTCCCCCTCCAGTTCCCTGAGTTTACAAGCTTGATGAAAGTAATTTTACAGTAAGAAGATAATCGATGACTCGCGGTGTCGTGTTGCTGGTAGCGACGTTTCGGCTGCTAGTGCTGCTAGCCTTCATCAGGCAACTTCTATTGAAAGTAATTTTGATGGACAAACATCTAATTCTACTTCTACGATTATACTTAGCAAAGTTCATATCTGGATATAATGCCGAGAATGTGTGCTAATGAAACAAAATTGGCGGACGGTGGGTCATTTGCATTTGAGTTCGAATCTCTTACAGCTACTGCTTGTCGAGCATTCGTTCGAGCTTCTAGCTGTGCTGGTTCGCATAATTGTTGCTGGTACTCGATTTTCTGCAGTGATAGCGCTCAGCGTAAACGATGCCAACCAACGAAAAGTTGTACTTCGCCAAATGACGTCATATCGGCAAGGCGATGGTAAACTATACACGCACGATGCATGAACGGTATGGTACGGAGGAAGATAATACTCCACTTTGTTCTGTGCAAGGCTGTTTTTATTCGGAATATTCGTAATAACTAAGTCTAAGATTCTCCCTATCATGTTATCTTGATAATTGAGAAATATGGGAACTGGAGCAGGCAAAAATCCCCAGGTGGGAATGCCACTGAGTCCGACTGTAGAGTACGCCGAGAAACGAAGCAAGAAAGAGGGAGAGGTGAGACTGAGATTAGCCTAACGAATGTGGCACTGGGGGCTAATGACATTTGTGCCGTGAATACTTCCAGAACTGTGGTGTGCGGTCCGACGTCCGCCTCGCGTGAGAGTGGGGTGGACGTTGGACCCCACAGTTCTGGGGGTATGCCGTGAACACGTATTCAAATTCAACATGTTCAAACGTTAAATGCAGCACATTCTGTAAAAATGATACGGGGCCCCTGTATTATATTAGGGGCCCAGGAGCCTACTTAAAAAAAAAACAGTGCCGAGATCCATGCAACGGAAGTCTCAAAACAGAAGGTACGCCGTTTTTTAGGCACTGTATTTTTGACATGTTTGATAATGCGATCACTTTGCCCTGTTCAACTTCGCCCCTTGCCTAACTACTTACCCCAATTCCAGTTCGCCCCATTTCCATTTCACCTTATTTCAACTTCCCCCATAAACTTCGCCCCACTGATTATCGTTCATTCTTTTCTTTAGTTTTAACACAGGCACAGCCTATGCAACAAATAAAAACATTGACCGTTTGAATACCCAGCCAAGTCAGAGGTTCCTAACTTTACTAGGCTATTTGCAAATGTTGTGTAAAAACTTTGCCTATTTTTGACCATCGGTTGCATGTACATGTATTTATCATCATCTCTTCGCCAGAATTAAATAATTGCCAGAGATGAAGCAGAAACGGTGTAGTTTTTGGTTCTTTTTCTTTTTTTTTAATACTGTACCTACATGTACCCATTTCTGTTTTTGAGAGGTACACTGTAGGCCAAAGGCCCTACATGTATGTCACGAACACCAAAATGTCCTAAATAAAAGCATTAAATAGAAGATTATTGGTCAATCTCTATAGAACATTTCTGAACCTTCTCGAAGTTCATGTACTTCACACCTGACATACCTGTAATTCATCTTAAATATGACACTTCATCTACAGTACATGTACATGTACATAAAACCTCATTTCTATGAGCACAAGTTGTTGATGTAAACAAAATGACTTTGGCACATGCTATGGAACACACACTGGACCTCTGTGCTGTAGTTAGGCCGGCCCAACTACATGTATAGCACTACAGTTGGGCCGGTCCCAACTGTAGTTGGGACTGATGCTGTAGTTGGGGCGTAACAAATCTATTCAGTGCCGGCTTTAGAGTACATGTATGATGTCAAAGACATGTCAGAAACCACCTAAAGCGGGGTTTTATTTTCTTTGGCAATTTATTGCTATGTAACTTAAGTATATGGCAATAAATCCAGTAAAAATATTTTTCACAGAAATGTTTCTAGATAGCAAATTTGGGATTCACAATTGAACATGAAAACAATATGCAACCTGAACTGTCTTCCTGGATTTACATCAAAGCAAAAGCGCCCTCACTTGTCCAGAAATGCTTGGTCAGTTTTTAATTTTTGAAAAAGTGCACCGTTCAGTTCACTCAAGAGGTGTCAAACAGTCTCCATACATGGAAGAATAGTACAGAAATACACTAGAAGTGATTCAAAGAAAATTTCATTTCCTTGTTCCTTAAGAAACAGGTTCGTATGAGCCCCCGTGTATAATATGTAATCTTAGATGGCTCATTCTAATCAATCTATTAATGTGCCCAAACTGCAATTTCTTAAGTTGTTCCTGTTTGTGAAATTCAGTCTCTATTTTGCCGTCTCAGTGCTACCTAAATTCACTAAAGAAAGGAAACTTTAAGACAGCGCAATTGTATACATCCAACAGTCTGACAAATTTTAGTGCTGACACAGGTTTCTCCCTGAAATGATGTGAAACTTTTGCTCATTAATGCACAATTGTAGCATGAACAAAGCCATCATGAAGGCATTTCAATGGCAGAGCTAAAAAGACATTGCAAATTACAGTCAAATGGACCATAAAGATGCAAATAACTTGCATACATCTGACACTTGCATACATGTACATGTGACACACCAGCCACTTTGTGCCTATGAAGTTTTCTGACTGTGCAACTATTGCAGTAAGACTGGGATAGGAACACACATTGAGTGATTGGGTTAGAAGTTAGAATCACCCTTTGGCCATATGTTTTGTCCTAATAGGCATAACACTGCTGCGATGGATGTACATGTACCAGTAGCATGTACTATACATGTACATCATGCATGCTTCCCTCAACCAAGATGTACATGTACATTTAAATGGCATGAATGGGCTATGGCATTATCTGTGTTGTAAACCTGCCATTCCATGTCAAGGGAAGTGGAATACAGATATTTTGAGTGCTTTGTGAAGACTTTACATTGTTTTTACTGTTGATACATGTATGTATTATGTCTTTATAAGAATTTCAGACTTTATTAATTTGGTGTATTTCCTCAATCCATACAGCCAGTCGTAATTGATGCCCCTGCGCTGGTTGACCTTGTTCATGGTACAGTGCGCTACAGGAATGATGGTGATCACATCATCAAAGCAGGGGAAGAATTGAAGACAGGATACTTCTACCATGCAAGACTAGAAGACTACAGTGAAGGTATAGGCATTTGCATATGTGGATGTGTACATTTTTCTGTTCAAATCTAAAATTGGCAGAATTAACAAACAATTTAGAGACAAACTTTATGATTAAAATTTTTGTAACCATGATGGCTACTGTTGTATGACTGCATGAATCCATAAGCATGCCTTGTCTATAATCACTGACACTACATGTACATGTAATATCCTCAAAACACATGTACATCACACTCTGAACCTGACAACACACAGTTCCTGTAATAATGTAATGTAGTGCACACCATTAAAGTAAACACAAAACCAACTGCATATCCTTTGCCCCTATTAACCTTCAACAACAGCGTGATGGAAACCATGACTGAAATCACATGATTTCCACAACTCAAAGGTCACAAAGGGGTAAAGAAATGTAGCATAATCTGGATGCATAGCAAGCTCCTCAAAAAAAAAAGTCCAACACACTACCATCCAACAAACCGCCCCAAACAAACAAAACAAAAACATTCAATAGATTATATATCCACACTTCAGACCGCCTAGCCAGTGCCATCCCAGACACCCCGCTTGTGGCCTACAGGTGTCCCCGCAACCTACGGGACCTTATCGTTTGGGCAGCAGTGCCCCCCTCGGATACCCTTTCCCCCTCCCAGCAAGGCACATTCAAGTGTGATTCTAACAGATGTGTT